ATAAGCCTGTTTTAAAAAGAGGGATAAATGAAGAGGAAAGAAGGAAACTTGTTAAGATACATAAGTATGCACAAGACAATACAAGAGAAACAATGTGTTTGGATGTCAAGGCTCTCCTTTCTACAAGTGGCCACCAGGTCACTGTTGGCATCTATGGCCATATGCCCTCAGCTAACACCTCTGCTAGTCAGGGTTTTACCTTGTGAGATGACCCAATATTCATTCCTGACAGAAAAATGTCCTCGATAATCTATTTGTGTGAGCATGCCATGGTCATTGTTAATTTCTTTCATTTAAAAAAAAATAGACTCTATTTTTTGAGCAGTTTTAGCTTTGTGGAAAGATCGAGCAGAAAGTACAGAATTCTCACCTTTATCCCACCCCCAGTTTACATTAGGGTTCACTCTTTGTGTGGTACAGGTCTATGAGTTTTGCAAAATGCATAATGTTAACTACCCATCATTACATTATTACCAAAGTATTTTCAATCCCCTAAAAATCACCTATTTCAGAACTATTTATCTCCCTACCCATCCCCAAACCCCTGGCAACCACTGATCTTTTGTTGTTGTTGTTGTTACTTAGTTTTTATTTCATAATCATAAACTTAGCTCTGCAATCCAGCTAGGCATGGAAGGGAACCAGGAAAACGTGGAACCCAAAGGGAACTGCAGCGAGAGCACAAAAATTCTAGGATACTGCACGCAAATGTGGTGGAGGGGTGCTCTCCTGAGCTACAGAAGGAACGATCTGGTGGTTAAAATAAAACACAAGTCAAACTCATTAGAATTGTCCACAGTCAGCAATGGTGATCTTCTTGCTCGTCCTGCCATTCCTGGACCCAAAGTGCTCCACGGCTTCCACAATGTTCATGCCTCCTTTCACCTTGCCAAAGGCCACATGCTTGCGCCCAACCACTCAGTCTTGGCAGTGCAGATGAAAAACTGGGAACCATCTGTGTTGGGTCCAGCATTTGCCATGTACAAGATGGCAGAACCTGTATGCTTTAGGATGAGGTTCTCATCATCAAATTTCTTCCCATAGATGGACTTGCCACCAGTGCCATTATGGCATGTGAAGTCACCACCCTGACACATAAACCCTGGAATAATTCTATGAAAGCAGGAACCCTTATAACCAAATCTTTTCTCTCCAGTGCTCAGAGCACGAAAGTTTTCTGCTGTCTTTGGAATCTTGTCTGCAAACAGCTTGAAGGAGACGCGGCCCCAGGGCTTGCCGTCGATGGTGATGTCGAATAACACGATGGGGTTGACCATGGCTGACAGTACAGGACTCCCAGTGGCGGCGGCATCTGCAAAGATAACCACTGATCTTTTTACTGTCTTTATAGTTTTGCCTTTTCCAGAATGTCATATAGTTGAAATCACAGTATGTACCCTTTTCAGACTGGCTTCTTTCACTTAGCAAAATGTATTTGTCTTTTCTGTGTCTTTTTGTGGCTTGACAGTTTTTTCCTCTTATCACCGAATAATATTCCACTCTATGAATATACCAGTTTTAAGGTCAAAATTTACTACCCATGCAACAGTGTAGCCGCATTTTAAATTTTAAATTTAAAATTTTTGACTGTTCGTCTAAAGGTCTCAGGTATCCTTAAAGGCCAGATAGAAGTCTCTCATCCTCTAATGAAGGATGGATCGTAAAATGGAATACTGCTAAGAATCTCCCCTTGGGTATTAATTCTGCAAAAACCCAGAATCTCAGAGACAAGAGACAAGTATTTGGAGTGGATCATTAGATGTAATGAAAAAAGAAGTCACTTCAACATTCATAACAAAGATCAAAGATTGTTGTATATTTTATATGGGAGACACCAGACAAGCTTATACTTAGTTACTAGCTCAGAAGATACACCACCACATCCTCTAGCATGAGTACAACCTTTTAAGCCATTGTTTCCAGCTGGCACTGTGATTGAGTCTTTAATAAAATATTCGCCATTCTATAATAATAATTTTGGTCAGTGATAGGATAAATGGTGGACCGGGTAAATCCAAGAAATACTACTCATTTGTTATACAACAAACTCTTTGAATACAAGCAATGTAGAACAGGATATTATGGCAGTATGTACAAAGCACTCAATGTACCAATGGAGAGTGGTGATCAGAGAAACATGATGTCAGGTAAAGCAAATGTAATTCAAGGATAAATGTAGATTCCATTTACAAAATTCCCTGTTGCCTTTATCATAGGGGAGCACCAGTAAAATCAATGAGTCTGACAAAAGGTGACTGTTTATTCACCCAGGATATGTTATTGTGTGCTTAGCCTTGGTCCTTGTTGCTTGTATGTTGGACACCCAATAGTCTTGACAGCTAAATGGGCTTTCGTAAGGGACAGTGATAAAGTTCAACATGTTGCTAAACCTATGTGTATTCTCTACTACTAGCACCAATGTTGCTGTTTATTAGCCTTCTGAGCAAGCAATGTAGTGCCTGGTTAAAGAGGTTGTTTCATACCCTCATATCTATTTGATAACCTTCCTGATGATAGTTTGGTGAGCATTCATATTAAGCACAAATATTCTTACACTTCGGCTCATTTTCTGTGGTTCATCTACGTATTTTTTCCCCAAAACTCATTGTCACCAGTCCTACAATCTGTCCTTCCAAGTCCCTAATAATCTTTTTTTTTTTAAGGGAGTTTTGCTCTGTTGCCCAGGCTGGAGTGCAGTGGCGCAATTTTGGCTCACTGTAACTTCTGCCTCCTGGATTCAAGAGATTCTCCTGCTTCAGCCTCCCAAGTAGCTGGGACTACTGGCGCACACCACCACACCTGGCTAATTTTCATATTTTTGGTAGAGATGGAATTTCACCATGTTAGCCAGGCTGGTTTCAAACTCCTGACTTCAGGCGATCCACCTGTCTTGTCCTCCCAAAGTTCTGGGATTATAGGTGTGAGCCACCAGGCCTAGCCCCGAGTCCCTAATTATCTAGACAACTTATTAGCTGCCACATATAAATCAATAACATCTCTTCTTCTAGACATCATGGACAACCAATTACATAGGCTGAATTTCTTTTAAAATTGCATTCAAGTAGGTTATAATGCATAAGCAATCTACTTTTGGCTGTTACCGTGATGTTGTACAGTAACTTCTGTAAATCAGGCTGAATTTTTCCCTCACTAATCAACTGGCCATAGAGAACTTCCCATGAAGACATTGGCATAGATTCTATTATTCCTTCCTGCTGATGAAGCAGGATAGTTATTTGGAAAACACTTATTTCATGATAAGCAGCTCAGTGGTCATTTTTTTTTTTTTTTTCCATTGGTAGGATTTCAGTTTCTACAATGGTCCAGGATCAATCAAGAGTTGTTTAAAGAAAACATTTATTTTGTAAAAGAAAGAAGCATTTTGTTCCAAATCCTAAGAACCATAGTAGTGGTGTGTCAGGTTCTATTGCATCTGGATATAAAAACAAAGGGGCACAATATTCCTGACCAGTTGGAAATTATTATCTTGATCTCAATCCCATCAAAAGGTGGCAGCATGACAAGTCATAAAGTAAAAGGACTAGGTGATAAAATGAGGTCTCCAAAATCCAAAGCATCAAAGTTCTCGATTAGTGGTCAGGGCTGCAAAGTGCCATAATTTTTCACTTTGGAAGGCATATCTTGACCCTTCAAGGGAGGTGTGTCCCAGACATTAGCAAAAATAATATATTTTATTTATATTTCTAACAAAGTATGTTAGAAGATTACCCGGCAAGCAAGGGCAACCATAAGATTTTAAATCAAAGAGAATATCAATAGAAATGGTCATAATAAAAATTAACATAATGTAACTCTAATGCAAGAAAACAAATTACTCAGCGTGAAGCTAATAACGAGAGAACTATTGGAAAATTCATATTGACAAGTCCATATATTATGATGCATAATTAATCATGTTAGATTATCCAAGTTAAGATGTGCTTGGTTGAAATAGAAAACGTTACTAATATAGTGACATAACATAGTGATATTTGATTTTCACTCAACAAGAAGTCTTAAGACAGTTGGTCCCAAGAGTTTGCTTGGTATCTCGGTAGTGTCTTGAAAACCTAGTTTCTTTTCATTCTTTTTTTTTTTTTTTTAATCTTACACATTTTTGAGTTTATTCTAGAAAAATAAAAATGTATAAAGATCTAGTTAGACTACTGTGGTCAGTAAGAATAGGCTAAATAATTTATAGTAAATCCATTTGATATTATGTATACATTAATGCTGAAATATTTGACACAGAAAGATATTCACCATTTAAATTCAAAAAGCAACTTAAGTGGAGGGTAAAAACAGTATAATCAGGATAAGCAAGTAAAATAAAATGTGTACTGAGAGTAGACTGAGAAAGTCTACGAAGATATACAGCAAAGCATGATCAACCTTCTCCTTTTTGCTTACCTATAATTCTACAATGTGTGTATATTACCTGTTTGCTTTTAATAGTTCTTTGACTTAATTTATAGAGTTCTATGCTCTTATTATCAGTTCCTTGATTTTACCTGAGTCCTAGAGTTCTTAGCTGTTTTTAGTATCCTTTACTTTAAAGCTCTGTCTCCACTAATTTCCTGGCAATTCAGTAATAATTACATTAAGGTAATAACCCTCTGAACCAATTTTATAAGCAAATAGATAAAATTTATATCTTTAGGGTAATTCCAATAGATAATTCCTGCATTTCTACAATGTGCATATATTACCTGTATATTGTTTGTTTTCAATAGGAGTTCATGGAATTTGAAATCAGTAGAAAAATCCTCATTACAAAACAACAGCATTTTAATTGAATTTTCTAAGTGATCATTTCCAGTTGTTCAAATGCACCTGTTCAAATCAAAGTTCATCATTTTGTTTGGAACAACTTTTGTTTGAGAATCAAATGGTCATGTAATTGAGAAAGCAAATAAGCATATAATGACAGAAAAGTAAGTGGCAAAATAATCACAATCTTTGTTCCACGGGCTACTGCAGTACAATAAATAAAATGATAGTTAACCAAAATCACCTTTATTTTCGTCTTCAAAGAAGAAGTTCTTTTCTTCTTTTTCCAGGATAATCATGATTAACTTACAAAAATGGGTACACACCTTCAAAGCACTTCCCTTTAACGGGAAACTTAGCTTTATGGGATTTAAACATTAGAAGGTGGGGGAAAAAATTCCATTTTCTTGTCGTTAAAAGACAAAACAGAATCTAGCGTAAGTCAAGGAACTCATTCACACTTCAGGTCCTTCTCCTCCAGGAACCAGCATTGTTATATTATTTCCATTTAGCAAAATCTGATCTAATTTAGTAATCCTTCTTCCTTCTGGTGTGATTTCAAACTCAGTGACATCTTGCAGTACCATATTGACAAAGTCATCAAATCCTAGAAGAGTACCAACAATTTCTTTATCACTCTTCATCACAATGTGAATTCTTGATCCTATACATTTGTCCACAAACTCTAACGGTAGCAGCTGTGACGGGTTGGTAGTAGCGTCAGCCGCCATGGCTACGCCGGAAGTGCTTTTTTCATTCTTAAACTCTGCCTTCCTCAAGGTGCTCAATTTCATCATGAGGCCCAGTTATTTGTAAATAGCTGCTACAGCTCTAGATAAGCCCACATTTATTTAAAATTTTCCAAACTAGAAAGGTAGAGAAAGGACAAAAAATCCTTCCCTGATATAGCCTTCTTTTTTCTTAGGGGTAAAATCTTTCCCATAAGTTCTCAACATATTTTCTCTTATATCTCAGAGGTCAAATTTAGATCATAGATCTGCCTCTAAGACAATCGCAAGCAAAGGGGAAATAATATTACATGATGAGCTCAGACCCCTTCATGATTCATCAGTTAAGACTCAGGTTCTAGACATTAACAGCGATCTGTTATCAAGGAGGAGTGGGAAATAGCCATTGGATAGGCAGCAAGAGATTTTGCCTCAATCATATTTTTTTGTGAATACAATTTTACTGATAATTAAGAATAGGAAGGGTTCATTCTGTTCCCTAGCTCTGTAATCTATTTAATGATTTTCATGATATAATCTGAAATAATCTCACTAGGATCTTTTCTAAAAAATTAAACTGATTGATGACAAATTAGTTTTTGTTTGTTTGCTTTTTGTTTTGTTTTTTCAAGACGAGATCTCACTCTGTCACCTGCCAGCATGCCCGTCTACTTTTTGTATTGTTTTTAGTAGACATGGGGTTTCACCATGTTAGCCAGGCTGGTCTCAATCTCCTGACCTCAAGTGATCTGCTCACCTGGGCCTCCCAAAGTGCTGGGATTACAGGCATGAACCAACACATGCCACCAACGAGATAGTTTTTAATAGAGCTACTATGAGCTATTCTATTAATTGCTCTCAAATCTTGCAGAGATAGGCAAAAGATAAGCTTGAACTGGTCAGGAAATTGAGTATATGAGACAAGTTATAATGTCATGTGGCCAGGCGTGGTGGCTCATGTCTGTAATCCCAGCACTTAGGGAAACTGAGGTGGGCAGATCATGAGGTCAGGAGTTCAAGACCAGCCTGGCCAATATGGTGAAACCCCGTTTCTACTAAAAATACAAAAATTAGTGGGGCATGGTGGCGCCCACCTGTAGTCCCAGCTACTTGGGAGCCTGAGGCAGCAGAATTGCTTGAACCCTGAAGGCGGAGGTTTCAGTAAGCTGAGATGGTGCCATTGCATCCTGCCTGGGCAACACAGCAAGACTCTGTCTCTTACCAAAAAAAAAAAAAAAAATTTTTAAAGGTCATGATAAACACCTTTGTTAGCCTCTGATCTTATAATAATTATCACACACACACAAACCAAACACCACACATAGAGGAAACAGTAAAAGATTAAAGGACACAGCTAAAACTACATTCGTATTATTACTTCCCAAAGTTCTAAAATTATGAGAAGGGACTATTGAATCTTTAAAAAATATTGATTATCCAACACTTTGTAATAACCAGTGTAATTTCATTGAAGGCTACTGAACATGGACATATTCCTATAATTTTTCTGTTATGGTGTCTGATTTGTGAAAGGAACAAAATTAAACACAGTTCCTTGGCATTTTTTCCCTCTTTCACTCTACTCATTGGCATATGTGCTATGTATGTTTATTGTAAAATAGGAATAAGATTCAGAGGTCAAGAATCAAAGTGAGTCAGAGTAGGAAAAGCCACACTTAAGTGGAACAGAAGGGCAGAGGCTGTCAAATCCCAAAATTAAAGGGTAAATTTAAACACAAGTAGAAATGGTTCAAAAGCTAAGGGGATCCTCATAGTTCATGAAAAGCAAGTATTCACACAGGTAGCAGACTCTAATCTGCTGCAAGCCAATGTGCTATTCTCTTTGTGTTATTTATATCCTTCAGAACACCTCAAAGTTCCCAAGAGCAGCCAGTATTTAACTCTAAACTATATCATATATATGATATATTTATTATATATATGATATATATTTATTATTATTATTATTATTTTGAGACAGAATTTTGCTCTTGTTGCCCAGGCTGGAGTACAATGGCTCTATCTCGGCTCACCACAACCTCTGCCTCCCGGGTTCAAGTGATTCTCCTGCCTCAGCCTCTTGAGTAGCTGGGATTACAAGCATGCGCTACCATGCTGGTTAATTTTGTATTTTTAATAGAGATGGGGTTTCTCCATGTTGGTCAGGCTGGTCTTGAACTCCTGTTCTCAGGTGATCCGCCTGCCTTGGCCTCCCAAAGTGCTGGGATTATAGGTGTGAGCCAATGTGCCCAGCCAACCATATCATATTTCAATTGTGTGGTGATAATCCTCATCAAAAGAAGTATTCATTACAGTCAGTGTACTCTGCTTATTTACCACTGAAGCTTAACACAAAATTGTTGAATAAACATGCATATTGAAGGACTCAGCTAGCTATTGAGGCAATACAGGTTTCTAGATTTACTCATTTTTTGAACTGTACACACATGTTCATGTGTGTCATGATAAACCCATGTGTGTGCATATCTTTATTAAATATTATATTTCTTTTTTACTTTTCTTATTATTATTGAGAAAGGGTCTCACTCTCTCACCCAGGCTGGAGTGCAGTGGCACAATCTCAGCTGACTTCAGCCTTGTTCTCCCAAAGCCCTAGACCCTGTAACATAACAGAATATGTATGTTTCTACTTTGTGCAATATTGAAGCAGGAATACTAGATAGAACTGTCATCTTTTCCTATTGCATTTATTTTGGTGTGGAAAAATATAATAATTGGCTTCAGTCACTAAGTCTATTTCATTCAAGAATATTTAAATATAATCCAAAACATCTTAAGTACATTTTGTGATACAAAAGGATCGTATCTTCTATTTGGAAATATAAAATCCCAGGGTCCCACAGTTTAAGTATACTTTCCAGGGGTATGTATAAAACAAGAATCCCACTTCACAAAGTTAATAGAAAAAATTTATACTAATTGTATAATTAGAAGGAGAGGCTACTGATGGAGGATAAAGTGGAAATTTTCACATACTGCTAATTACATTTTAATGAAGTAAGAAAAAAATTGGAAATAGTATCCTATAAAACTTCTGAAATGAAATTATAGTTTGTCTCTGTCTCTCTCTCTCTCTTTTTTTTATTTCTTGAGATAGAGTTTCACTCTTGTTGCCCAGGCTGGAGTGCAATAGCACTATCTCAGCATAATGCAACCTTCGCCTCTCGGGTTTAAGCGATTCTTTTGCCTCAGCCTCCCGAGTAGCTGGGATTACAGGCATGCACCACCACGCCCAGCTATTTTTTTGTGTGTTTTTAGGGACCCACCATGCCTGGCTGTCTCCTTTTTTTAGAATTAGGAGAATGGATTTTTTCAACGCTAAACTGACTCTGTACTATGTTTTCAAGAAAGCAATATGGTGAAATGAAAGAGGCAGGATAGCATCTTTTGTTAGCTGGCATCTAGTTCTTTAAGTTCCATGAGTCTATTGTGTCCTCTCTACATCTCAAAAAGAAGAGAGAAGAAACCTGTATCTAATTAATGAAGCAGTTTCATTCAGCAAATGTAATTGTACCGCAAGCACATCTCAAATGAAAAATCTTGATCTTGGCTGTCATCTTCATTTTACTGGGACTGAATAACCGGTTTTGCCTCTCAAAATAATAGCCAGTGTCTCTTTCTCATTAAAAAATGTGATCTTTTGCTTGATTACCTAATTATGTCACCTGCACCTTACATGAGGCAGATAGAAGAGTCTTCCAGTCTGCCTGAGCAGATCTACCAAAGTAGACTGCACGTACAAATTACCTGGGGATCCTGATAAACTGCAGATTCTGAGTCTGCTTTTGAACAAGCCCTCAAGTCAAGCTGATGGTATTGGTCCCAGAATCCCTCATTGTGTAGCAAAGTATTAGAATCAAAAAATGGGCAAGTATAAGGCTGGGCCCGGTGGCTCACGCCTGTAATCCCAGCACTTTGGGAGGCCAAGGCGGGTGGATCACCTGAGGTCAGGAATTCGAGACCAGCCTGGCCAACATGGTGAAACCCTGCCTCTACTAAAAATACAAAAAATTAGCCAGGTGTGGTGGCATGCACCTGTAATCCCAGCTACTCAGAAGGCTGAGGCAGAAGAATTGCTTGAACCTGGGAGGCAGATGTTGCAGTGAACCAAGATCAAGCCACTGTACTCCAGCCTGGGTTCCAGCATGGGCAACAAGAGCGAAACTCCATTTAAAAAAAAAAAAATGGCAAGTATAAACACGGAAATATGGACAATTGTAAGCAATATTAGAGAACTGCAGAAAACAATTTTTTAAGTGGTGTGTTTAACCTATTTAGAATAAAACCCATTAGGGTCCTAGGAATTTCTGGAACTGCTTTACTTGTGAGAAACATGATCCTAAGATGCCCATTTGTTTATCAGTACATCAATTTTCTCCTTCTTAAATTGGTATAATTATTTTCTTCCAAGAAGCCTGGCACATTTTTGTTGTTGTCATTGAAAGAGGGCATATAAGGGTTATGGCTGCTATTTGGAGAAATGCATTAGAAAATAAAAAGCTTGAATAAGTCATATATTACTGAGAAAAAAGTTGAATGAAAATAAGAAAGATTAAATTGAAATAAATAATGAGTCAGTAAGGTATGCACTGTTAAACACTTGATGAGATTTCCCTAGTATTGACATGCTGATAACTTGAAGTAACAATGGGAGAAAAGGTCAATCTGAATTCTTAAAATGTTGAAGGCTGGGAATAAGAAGTAATATATCATAGAATCTGATACTAAAATTTTTATTTATTTTATGGGAGAAAAAGGGAGACTAACAGACAATAGGAATAGGAAAGAATTAATAGAAATAGCAAAAAGAAGTGTATTTGCAATTATTAATATAATACAAGAGGAAACTGTGTAGAGCTATTTAAAGAAAGATTGATAAAATTTAGATTTATGGAGAAATATCCTAATAAAGACATTATTTGTAATCAACTGTTCATAATTATTATGTAATTCTGACAGTTTTTAGGATATAAACATAAGGCAGAATGATCT